AGATTATCAATATTTAATTACACTCAACAATATAGACGTATCTAATTAGTCAAGAAAGAGATAAGTTAGCCATGGAAAAGAAAAATGGATGAGCATTAAAAAAAAAGAGCTAATCACTTGACACTTGATTCTTTTTTTTATCTCTATAACAGACACTCGTTCTTCATCCCTATATAAACAACAATTGCAATCATTAACTAATTCATAATACAATATGTCAAAAACTATACGACAAGTAAGTCAATCTCTATCGATGATATGATACTTATTTTTGCATTGTTTCTTTTCATAGAAAATTGCTCATGCTATTCAAACTATTCGATCATCATCACAAGATAAACAAACTTCTACAAAAACAAGTTAGTTATTCTTTTTTAGATTTATCAAAAAATTTTTAATTATTTTCTTCTCTCTTTTTTTTTAGAAATTTCATCTTGTTGTTCAGTATCAAAACCAAAAGATTATGAATATATATCATATGAATTAAAACAATCATCAACAAATAATGATTATGTAAATATGATTTTTTTTTTGTTTTTGTTTAGTCTCTTCAATCAGTCTTTTAATAAAAATATGTGTTTAGGTCGATTTAAGTGAATGTCATTCATGGTCTTTATCTTATTCAAAAGATTCAGGAATATCATATGATAAAAATCTATCATCAATAAGTTTATCAAATGAAAATTTTCATCAATTTCAATCAACTCAAATACATTCAAATAATTCAACATCTCATTTAAGTTTATCTAATATAAGTTCAATTCCAAATGATCAATTAAATATATCAAATTTTGATGTTACTGCATGGTGTACAATTCCAACATCATTTCAATGTTGTCGTTGTCATTGTCATCATCATTTTAATATAGATCATTTACAAAATCCAACTAATAATACTAATCATTTAGATTTTCCACAACAACATGAAGAAAAACGAACAAAAAATCAAATTTTTCCTTTCATTTTTTAATTGTTTTCATTTGGAAAAATAAATTTAAAAATTTCACAACTTCTTAACTATGATATGAGAGTCAAAACTGATGATGCAATGACCGTTGCTATAAACAATGTTGTTATGTTGCACCTTTCTTCCGGCTTGTCTATAG